CGCGTGCTGCGGCACAGGGCATCTTGGCAGAGCAACGCCCAAAAACCACCAGTGACCATCCTGGCAGGTGCTTCTACTACTTCGGTTTAGTAGGGTGATGGTGAGGCCCTATTGTTCAATTTGTTGTATAGCCATGGTAGTAAACCAAAAGCCATATAGCCATGTTAGTAAACCAAAAGTCACATGGGCGTTGGGCACTGGTCAATCGGGGGATCCGGGTACTGTTGTGGACATCCAATGTATGTCAAACCAATTAACGGTCATAGCCACACGGACCAAACATTTGGCCACGAAATTTTCGGAGAAGAAGCACCCCCCACCTTTATTCCGGCGGTGGACACCCCCTCCATGTTTCAGCGCCCGAAAGACAGAGGTAGAGGTTCAGTCACTCTCTGCTTTTGCGATTGCTTCTCCTGACAAGTTTGAGAACCCTCAATAATGTTTCCGGTGTGCACGCAAGGGTCAAATCCATACTTTTCAGCTCAACAGAGAAGCCATTCCCGTGTTTCCCCTGAAGCCATTTCCGTATTTCCCCTCGGATTTCCCGCCCCTCGATCTTGTGAGTTTGTGAGTTCAGGACCTGCTGCTCAGAACGCTGCTCCGAAGCTTCGAGCGGGACCAGTTGGAGTGCAGGGTGCTGGAGTCCAGGGCCTTCCAGCCGCTGCTGCACCGCTGGGCCGAGCTGCTGGTGGCCCAAGGGGCGCACGGCGCCCAGGTGGCGGAATCCGAGCCGAGTCTGGGCGACGGGCGAGCGCCAGTCAGTGGACGTGTAAACCAAAGAGCAAGCCGTAGCAAGAGGTATGCGCACGTGGGAGGTAGACAAATTTCAGCACTCTGCGAATGGCAAATTTCTCCTCCAGGCCACTTGGCCCCAACCGCCTGGGTTGGTTCCCCCCCATGGGTTGCCTTGCAACGCAGCCTGCCCTCCAACAAAAATCCTGAGAAGACTTTGGCGCGTCAGGTGGACCCCCAGCAGGTGCCGGTGGAAGTGGCGGAGAGCGCCAAGACGAGCACTGCGGAGGTGCGGTGGCTGCTGCGGCGCCTGGGCAGCGGGGACCCGCAGCACCGGGGGCTGCCGCACTATCCCTCGGTCTTCCGGTACAAAGGGCCTCAGCACCTCGGACGGGCCAAAGCCAAGTCCCGTTTTTGGCCGTGGGTGCTTCTGTGGTTGTAAGAGAGATGCAACAAGGGCTATAGCTATGATGGCCATGCTTTCGGCTCCTGTCTGGTCGCAAGAGACAGATGCAACAAAGGCGATATGTGGGAGGATGCAAGATCTGTTTTAAGAGTTGAGGAAGGAGAGAGCCCAATCTGGCAGTGCAATATATTTTTGCAGGGGAGGTGTGAAAGCAACATGGTTGCTTGAAGAATTTGATTCGCAATATTGCTTACGCTGTGAATTGCAACTTGCAAATTAGGGGAATGCTCCGATGTTTGCCAGGTGATTCATGATGCAGCCGTGTTGGGCAATGGATTTCAGGAGAATTATGAGATCTTTTTCTTTTTGTTTAAAGCGTGCTGGCCGATCGCATTGCCGTCAGTGCTTTGCCGTGACTTGTCTGTGTTTGTGTTTGTGTGTTTGAGTGTTTGTGCGTCGCGCTCTCTCTCTCTCTCTCTCTCTCTCTCTTTTTTTCTATCTCTCTCTCTCTCTCTCTGTTTCCGCTCCACTAATAGTTTCCTAACACTATTTGAGACTTGAACACCGTGCAATCCGAGAGGCACCGCCTGCGCCTTGAATAAGTTGAGAAACCTTTCAGGTGATGGTAGGCCTTAGCAGCAAGATTCGTTGATATGCTCCCTTCAAGGCCTTTTGGGCTTGTCATCTTTTTTGGTTGGATTAGTCTTTTCCTAGAGGGAGCCCCTAGAGTGGCTGCCTAATTTTGTTTCTCTCCCAAAAGCCATCCAAAGGTGCTCTTCTTTTCTGGAACCCCTTATTTGGAGCCGCCCAGCCCATGGGCATGCTTTAAGCGCCTTGTTGACTTCCCCCCTCACCCCGGGATGTGAACATAGGTGTCTTGAGATCAGTTTGGTCTACACCGCGTGTGGCACTCCATCTTTCCACAACCTTCCGATCAGCAAGTTGGCTACCTGCCGACCAGCTGGTCCAAAAAACATCGGGGCCGACTCCCACGGAACTATGGGGCCAAACTCGACGCCGAAAAGCACCCCCAGCTACCTATTCCGAACACCAGCTATTGGTCCAACAAAAGTTCGGGGCAACGCCTGGCGGAAAAGCCCCAGGTACCCCTTCCAGCCCTTCGAGCTGACGTATTTGCGCTCGGTGGTCGGGTCCATGCGCGGCACGGAGCTGCTCCAAGAGATCAAGCTGCCGCACAGCGAGGAGGTGCGGAGCCGCGGAGCCCAGCCGAGGTTCATCCGAAGAGTCCCGTTTGGGTGGGGGGGGTTTGGGGGCTTTGGGGGGCTTTGGGGGGCTTTGGGGGGCTTTGCAGGGCTTTGCGGGGCTTTGGGGGGCTTTGGGGGGCTTTGAGGGGAATTTTATTGACTAATTCAAGAATCTACATCGTCAAATTGAAAATAGGCCCGAGGTCACTCTCTTTGGTGACGCAAGTGACTGAGGCGGAGGTTGTCACATCTGGGCCGAGCCTGTCTCAGGCGAAGGCCGCGGCCCTCAAGGTGCACAAGGGCCGGCCGCCGCGGGATCTCTGGGCCGAGGGCTGCCTGGACGACGACGACCACGAAGATCCCACCAAGCCGCCCAAGGGCGTCCACTGAGCGGAGAAAAGCCGAACGCCGTTTTTGCTGTTTTTTGACACGCAATCACGACCAAGGGGTTCGCATGGACATGCCTTGGTGTTCACGGATCGTGCAAGAAATGGGGGGGGGGGTTGTTGCCCGAGTGTCAGGCGGACAAGGCCATCCAGCAGCTGGGTCGCGTGCACCGCAGCAACCAGAGGGTGAGCCGCCCGACCTCGCTCAAGCATCATTTTTTGCTGGTTCTGATGCACATGGCCAGACCCGAGAGGGATGGCTTTGTCTGGCTTGCCGCCGTAGGTACCCCCGCGCTTCGCCTTTGTCGTGACGGATTTGGGTGGAGAGGCCGGCTCATACGAGCCAGAACCAAGTTGCCTTGCAAGCGGTTTGCATGAATCTGTGGCCAGCTAGCTAGTACAGTCATCACAGAGCTTTGGTCAGACTTCTTTTCCAGCTCCGCAGAATTCTCGTGGCTCGGCTCGGTTCCGTTTGCTCGAACTATTCCTGCTTGCACCATTGCAGCTGTTTTGCTCAGATTGGCAGTTTAGCTCAGATGCAGACATTTGAGCCTTTGTCAGATTCCTCCACTTGTTTGGTCCACTGGGGTGCTTTCAAGAACTAGCCCCCGAGGCCCCACACCATGTGCGCAAATAATCATTGCCGTTCCTGTTATGCTCAACAAAGCAGATCAGCCCACCAACCACTACGACTAAGTGCAGTGTAGAGGGCTCAGGCAGCGTGCTTGGAGTCAGCATGGTGCTTACAAGATGGGCTGGTGTAGTCTGTGGCATTGCTTTTTTCGCGGCCGTCAAGCAGCATCTTCCTTTTACATCAATTCACAAAGCACCACCCGCAGTGGTCGCACCACTTTCAAGCCTGGATGTGAAGAACGGGGCATACTGTGAGTTTCGCGAGTCGTGGTTCACGCGCAAGAGGCACAACCAGCTCACTTGGTTGCCAGCGGCATCATCTCCTGGCAGTTTTTCCTTGGTTTTGATGGTTGGGGACTCGTATGGCGATGACGTTGACATGGGCTTCCACTGCTGGCCAGCCCAGTTGGGCAAGGCCCTCAGTGTGCCAGTCCTCAATGTTGCCAGGGGCGGGTCAGAATCCAGCGACATCCACAGGCAGCTGGAACTCGCGCACGACTGGGCTGCACAAAAAGGGCTGGACATAGATGCAGAAGAAGCTCTCATTGTTCTGCACACCGGCGGCAATGACGCCCTGAACTCCTTGATGAATCCTTGGAATCTGGCTCAGCTGGTCTCAGATTTGTACAGGTTGAGAGGCCAAGACGAAGCAAACCTGGAGCACGCCTTCGCAGAGCAGCTGTCCAGAGGCATCGTCCAGGAATTCGACCGGTTCCTGGGTGACGTTTCCAGTTTGGGTTACCGCAAGATCGTGGTGAGCACCGTTCCCATCGTCTCGTCCCTGCCTTTAGCGCGGCTCTTGGTGCGGCTGTTGGTCCCTGGCTCGGACGTGAGCTTTGTGACCTTTAGCTTGCAGCAAATCGGCGGCCGTTTGAATCGCGTGGTGAAGGAGGAGCTCCGGGCTCTGGCGCGGAAGCACCAGCTGCAGGAGCCGTTTTTTTCCCCCCCCCCCCCTTTTTTCTCATTTGGGGAACCAAAGGGATTTGCATGAGACAGACCCATGGAAGTCGATAGATGTTCCCAACGCGTCGAGTTTGGCAAACGCCTTGAGGCCTGGGTCTTTGAGGAGAGCGAGGCCCTGGACGACTTGGCGCACCAGTCAGCCGCCGGGCAGCTCGGCCTGCTGGAGGCCATGCGTTTGGTGCTGAAGCGCCTGCCGCTGCTCGACGCCACACGCGTCAGAGGCGCTGACGTGGACGGCGCGGACGTCGGCGCGGCTCGGGGGTTGCGCTTCTGGCACGACGGGCATCACCCGGCGGCCGCGGTGCATGAAATGCTCGCGGCGCAGGTCGTGGAGCTCTTGAAGGAGCCTTGAAGGCAAAAGGAGCGCACGATCATCTCACGCGTGCGGCGTGTGCCAAGCGCTGGACTTCCAGCTTGGCAGACATGCCAGGTGCGGTTTGTGTCCACGGTGGCCCGGCGCTTGCGAATCCTGGGCGCCTGGGCCTCTGAGTCATGATGATGAAGTCATGGGCCTCGCTTCTTTAAGCATGGGTTTGCCTTTTGGCTATTGAAAGAAATCAGGCCTGATTGAAGCATTTTCCTCCCTCCTTTGCTCAGGCAATGATGCGGGGAGACCGGAATTCTGCCCATGGCGCTGTGCAGTCTCTGGCCAACTTCGACCTTCAGAATCGCAAGCGAGCCCAGAACTTTCCGGCAGAAGATGGAAACTGCAGCGATGTTGGCAGGGCATGTGATGCGATGTGAATATTTTAAGGATTAGTAATTCAAGAGTCATGCTTTTATCCCTCCCTCCCTCCCTCCCTCCCTCCCCTCCCCTCCCCTCCCCTCCCCTCCCTCCCCTCCCCCCCCTCCCCTCCCCTCCCCTCCCCCTCCCCCTCCCCTCTCCCCTCCCCTCCCCTCCCCTCCCCTCCCCTCCCTCCCCTCCCCTCCCCTCCCTCCTCCCCTCCCCTCCCCTCCCCTCCCCCTCCCCTCCCCTCCCTCCCTCCCCCCTCCCTCCCCTCCCCTCCCCTCCCTCCCTCCCCTCCCCTCCCTCCCTCCCTCCCTCCCTGGGACCTCTGAACCCTTGGACTGGAATGGTCACGCCGCGCTCCAGCGAGGCTACGGGCGCCAGGCCCTGGCACGTCTCTTCGAGCTCCTGCGCACCGGGCAGCAGCCGGAGGCAGAGATCGCACCTTCGTATAGAGATACTGTGGATGGACGAAATCCATTTCGCACCACCTAAGAAGCCCTGGTTTCTGATGATTCCCTTGCAAATACCAACAAACAATGGTTTCAAAGATGGTTTCAACGTGGCGCAGGATTTTGTCCATCCACGGTAGGAGCCCCGTTTCGAACGAGTGGAATGAAGAGATTCGCCTTGGCCAGATTTCTCTTCGCAACTTTGAAGGGCAAGATGTGGGCCTTAGTGCAGGCCGTGCTTGAAGGATATTGACACCTTTTCAGGTGTCCTTCTCCTTCCTCCCGTTCGGCCGACGCAAGGGAAGGGCAAAGTGGCCCAGCCGGGTGGCCCAAAAAGCTTGTGCTCTTTGCCTTGAGACTTAAAAACAAGAGCCGTGGTCAGGCTGGGCAGAGTTCAAGAAGTCGGCGGAGAAGGCGCCTGCCTGTGAGAGAAGTCGTGCTGCTTTGCTCAGGGTATTGCACAACTGTTTGCTTCTTCTCCTGCGCTCTTGTCCTGTCATCAGGGAAGATTAAGCATGCGCATATATCTATAATGTATACATATACATACAATATATATCCATATACATATATATATATATATATGTATGTATGTATGTATGTATAGTATACAGTTGAGGCTTATACACTTGTTTGTTTGTCTTCTTCTTGAGAAGTAGGAGCCATCCCCCTGTCACAAAGAGTAGTGTATTGATCCCGGCTGGTGCTCCTGTAATGCTCCTGTTCTTTTGTGTGGGAATTGGAAGACACCTACGTGCCACAAGATTGGAGGGCGGAGCTTTGCTTGGAGTCTCCATGAGAAGCCTCTTCAGGAGTAAGCAAAGGGAGGCTACCCAGCATGCTGAGATTCCTTGAGCTGACGTCGATGCTGGTCACTTCTTGTTGTTTTTGCAACTAACAAATTCAAGCGCAGCAATCGAGCCACATCTGCGCTTTGGGACATTTTGGCTTGCCCCTTGACTGCATTCATAATGGCTCATGTGCAAAATAGTATATATATATATATATACACATCAATATACACGCCATGCAGAAAGACATATATGTACATTTGCATGCACACACGTTTGTAACAGCCTTTGTATCGTGTTGGCATGTGTGGGATGTCCTCCTTTTGTTAAATTAACACGCTCTGTCACTAGACACGTCACAAGGAGTGGGCACCATCTTGCGTGGCAGCCGGTTTCCGATTTGGACTGGAAGCGCCTTGGATGATTTGTCCTCCCGGCAGGCGCTTGATCTCATCGGTTTGCGACCTGATACGGAAGACAAGTATGAGGACTGCTGTGCAATCAAGCAAGGCTATGTAGAGTTGCTCGCCGTATGGAACGCATTATGAATACAAGGGCTTTCTGTTCACTTTTCCAGGAGTCGTTGGCAGAGTCCAAGAACCTGAACGTATTCCTCAACAGGCCAATGCACTCAGTTGGAAGTTCATGGTTCATGTTGGCCAGCCCCTCTGAGGTGTTCTTTAAGAGTCCTTGGGCCTTCTTTGCACATTAGTAGATACGGGCCAGATCAATCGCACGCCAGGTACTGTTACAGGCCAGTGGTTTCCCTGTATCAAACCCAGTGCGGCTAGATCAGGTTCTGAGATTCTGGCTTGCGTTTGACGGCGCCGAGCCTCGTGTTCTTCTCAACGCATCCTTCGCGAAGCCCTATGCTTCAATCCCAAAAAGTCGACCCATGGCCCGACAGGCTGCTGATGCTGGAGCCCGGCATCCAAAATGCATTGTTCGATGCCCTGGCGGAGCTGTACACGCACCTGGTGAGCAAAAGCCTCGGTTCTGCTCGTTGGAACTCCGGCAAGATTCAGCACCGGGCTGTTTGACTTGAAGTCTTCCAAAAGGGGATCCACTCACATCTTGCCTCCGTCCTCCGAGTTCGGTCCCTGAACGAGTTCCCGAATTTTCCGGCTCCAACTTCAAGAGCGCCTTTGGGTGAGGGGAGCATACTGTGGACGAAATCCGGCACCACTTTGAAACTATGGGAAACCATTGTTTCTTGGTATGTACAAGGGAATCATCATTCCAGGGTTTCTTAGGTGGAGGATTTCGTCCATCCACAGTAGGGAGTCGCCAGCCCCGCCTCGCTAGCTTGGCGCTAGGCCTCGACCGCGCCTCCGGGGTCTACGACAACGGCCCGGAGCTGCTGGACAGGAGGCCGAGTTCGATGCCCGAGGCTTCGTTTTTTGTTTGAAGACGTGGTTCTTGGTTTTGGGCAAACCAGAGAAGAGACACGATGCAGCTGCGCTGGCGCTGATAAACCAAAACTCGATTTGCTTGTGCTACAAGAGCGGCAAACACCGCCCTCGGGCTTCCGGGCTTGCTGCTTCCTCGCGCCCATGTCTTGTTGCCCAAGTTCTCTTGCAGGCGCGGTGCAAGAGCGGAAGCCTCGCACTCAGAGTTTGAACAGAGCAACCTCGAGCAACCTTGCCATGGACCTCTCTGAGGTTCGCCTGGCCCACCGCGAGGCGAAAGCGGTATGTTGAGACAGGTAGGCAGTCGGCATGTGCTGAAATGGAGGTGCTTGGCTTTTGAGAGAGCTGCGACAGCTATTCGAAATGCCCATGTCAACGATTGACGCAATTGCTCAACATGGCTTCGAGTACATTCAGATTGTATTTGTCGTCGCTCTGGCCATTTGCAACAGTGGGCTCCCGCCAAAGCAGTCATTGGCTTACTTAAGCATCTTTGCTGAAGCCCCTTTGAAGTTTTTGACATTTCAACTTCCGCAATTGTCAAGTCTCGAGTCGCAAGTTGGGACAGGGGTTTCGGTGCAGCTGTAGGGTTTGGTCGTCAGGTCCTCTTTACCGACCCCATCACAAGCTCAGAAACAGCACAGCGCTCGGGAGGCAGAAGCTTTCTTGTGGCGTCAAACTTGAACTTCCGCTCAATTCCAAAAACCTACACGGCTGTTCCGGGAGGAGATCATGCCCGCTTATGCTTGGATGCCATTGAAGGCTCAGACACACATATGTATATATATATATATACACATATATATATATATATATACGCTTTACAATTTTACATTGAGTGCAAGAAGTGCAGGCCTGTGGTTGTCATCCGGAAGCCAAGGCCTACGTCCGACTGAAGTTGGATCGCGGCATGACCTGGTCCACTGCCACGAAGGCACCCTCTTAGTTGAGCGTGCAGTCCCAAACTGGACAAGACTGCCACAAGCCAAAGACATGCCAGACACCGATTCCACTCTTTTCTCATCTTCCATGGTATTCCCATCACAAATTATTGTTGGATTGCTTGGAGGGTTGAGGGTTGTGGGTTGGAGGGGGTGTGGTTGTAGCTCAGCATCCCGAAAATCGAAATGCAGGTGCTCGAACAACGGGGAAGAGGAGAAGCCGAAGGTTTCTACTGGTGCCATTGCATGAGTTTCGTTTTTCGCTCAATGCTCTTGGACTTGTGCAGCGCAGTCGGTTGCTCCTGGGAGGTGCTTGCGCGGGCCGGTTCCGAGCTCTCAGAAGCCAGTGGTCCTTGCGGTGGCTCGTCCAAAGGTTCAGGCAGTCCGCGCCGGGGCTGCAGACTCCTCCGACGAGGAGAGCGATGCGGAGCTGGACCTGCATTGGCCGCAGGGGCCTCCGCCGGATGCCAGCCTGGACCAGCGAATCTTGTCGTCCACACTGGGCCGGGGTGAGAGCTTCAGGAGAGTGATGCCTTCCGAACTGAAGCAGGTGCAGGTGGCATGGCAGCGTCTGCATCAGGCCGCCAGTGGCGGAAGGTGGCAGGATGAGCATGTGCTCACAGGATCCATCCTGAGTACTTGGGCAGTTCTCGGCACGGCCATTGGAGCCGAAGTCAGCTCCAGGCTGAAGAAGACGAAGATCCCCCTGGTTCGCGCAAAGCTCTCAGATGGCGGGGCGGTCGTGGGCGTGCGCCTACAGCCGGATCGCTTGAAGGAGGTGAGGTATGTGCTCTCGGCGCTGTACGAAGAGCGGAGTAGCAAGATCAAGGCTGACCAGGCTGGAGGGTTGGTTGCATTTCGCTTCGGATCCTGGTGAAAAGGGCAGATAAGAGGGCACATCATGAAGTGTTCCAAAGACACGTCCTCTGGGTGTGAAGAGGGAAACAAAAGTCACCCTGTCATTTGCGCCCAAGGGTGTACAGCTGGTGGAAGTGAACCAAGTGATTCCCTTGACCCCAGTTGCAGTTCTCTGCCTCTCAGTTTTGAAGAACCCCCATTGTACCGTATACCTGTGCATGAACCCAGCAACCATGTTCTGAGTGAATCACAACGAAGGCGAGACTTTTCCTGGGGTGAGCCCCTCTTTTGGCGGGTTTTAAAGGGACCTCGCCAGGACATCCGGTGTCCCCTGGGTTGGAGACCCCCCTCCTCCTCTGGCTAGGTGGACATCCAGAAGCTCAGCGCGCACGTGGAGGCGTTCTTGCGCACGCAGCCCAACCAAAAAGCGGCCTGGGATGGCTGGGCGGGCGCCCACCAGGCCATTGGGCCGTTGGGCTGTTGGGGCCATGACTCGTGGGCAGAAACGACGTCCAAAGGCGGAGTAGCACCCTCCAACACGGGAATGGGTCAAAAATAAGCCACCAGGAATTGGACCGCAGGTTTTAGTCCTGTTTCCATTTGCCAGGATTCCATTTGGGGTACCTATTCTTGACCCACACCCACATGGGCGGATAACCCCACCCCAGGTAAATTGGCTGGGGTTTCTGGAGGACCAGTTTCCTCTCAACGGGACCCTTGGGTTCGATGTCCTCAAATCGGGGGACCCCAAGCAAAACCAGTTCTTGTCTTTTTGTGGTTCTTCGCACCCCCGAAAAAAAAAGAAGGAAGCATATCTCAGCAACACATGGCTATGGTTCATGGTTGGAGCTCGCTCAAATGTGTCAAAGCTGCTTTCAGGTCGGTTTCTAGGTTACGGTTACTTGAAAACTGTTCCCAGGGTCGTGGGTGGTTGACAAATGGTGTCCCGTCTTCTGGGTGCCCACCCGTGTTTTGTATCAGGGGCACAACATGACACCGAAGAACGGAAAAGGCACAAATCGTTTCGGACATCACGCAACAAGGGGACCTCTGAAATGACTTGGTCATACTTGCGTCATTCACGGGTATCGATCGCCGCAGGGGACAGTTGCACGAGGACAACAAGCCCCGATGTGCAGTGTTCATGTGAACCTGGGGTTCACATTCACGCTTGTGAGCAATGGAGGCTTTCTGTCCGTGATACTTCAGGAATCCCTGCCGTGACAGAATGTTTGCGGGAAAGTCGATATCACGGTCCCAGGCTCGGTCCAAACACGGTTGCACATATTGGGTATTCAGGTGGCACTGGTTGAACTACAAAATTGCATTTGAAGGGAGGTTCGGGGCACATGCCGGCTCTCAAACCAGATGATTCGAAAAGGTCACCGCAAAGGAAGAATCGCAACCTGGAAACTTGCCCCCAAGTTTTGGGCAACATCCGCACGCCCTAGGCCCCACCCGAATCTCGCCCGGCTTCCGTTTTGGGCGTGCAGGTTCTTTTGTCCGAGGGCCTGGTGGCGGAGGGGGCGCCGGGCATGTTGGCGGCCCAGGAGGCGATGGAGGATCTCGAGCGCAACGGCAAGGCTGGAGATCTGCAGCTGGTAGGCCCGAAAGTTGCTGGAGGTTTTGCCAGGAGGTGAGTAACAAAGATCCCTTTGATGGATGTCAGAGTCATTGCGTGAACTTAAGAACATGTGTTTTGATGGGACGATTCACTTCACAACATTTTTGTTGATGGATGTCAGAGTCATGGCCCAGGGCGCGCGTGTACACGCCTTTTCGTTCCAGAAGCAAAATCAAAGATCGCCGTGGCTTAGGTGGACACGGCCGAGGGCACGGTGCAGCTCCGAGACAAGCCCCGGGGCTGCGGCTGGTACATCCCTCCGCCCAAGCCGAAGACGCGGGGCCGTGGCAGGGGCCGCAAGGCCAAGTAGGCACCGAAGAAAGCAGAAAGCAAGACCAGAGACAGACGAAACTGGCTAAAAGAGAACAAGAGAAAACAAGAGAAAACACGAGAAAACAAGAGAAAACAAGAGAAAACAAGAGCAAACAAGAGAAAACAAGAGAAAACAAGAGAAAACAAGAGAAACTAAGAGAAAACAAGAGAAACTAAGAGAAAACAAGAGAAAACAAGAGAAAACAAGAGAAAACAAGAGAAACCAAGGAAACCCAGCGTCGCAAAGTTCGTGCTTTCAAAAAGAGCCTAAGACTCAGCGCGAGTCTGGCAGCGCGTGAGCTGCTGTTAATGTTCCCGGCTCCGGGGAGGTTGGACGCGCCCACAAGGCTGGCCGAACCTTCCTCAGGTTGCCGTTGTTAACATGCTGGCCCTTGGCTGAGCGCAGCTCTATGTTGCCATTCTGTGCAGCACTGACTTTCTGTCTATTTGGGAACCCATTCATATTTTCTATCACTAGTGATGTGCTTAGCCAAGCAGCAAGGGCGCATGGCTTCGCTGTGCCGTTGGTGCAGGGGAGTGCACCGAAGAAAAGCTCGCCAATGGCCATGTGCGTCTCGTAGGTCACAGTGCCCTGTATTTCAGGCTGAATGCAACGCAAGTATGCTGTGCGCCGTAGCTTCAGTTCCTGCTTATCGGTGACATCACTCACTAATTACACATACGCAAAAGATGTTGCCGTGGATGCTGGAATCCATCGTGTCTTTGGTTGCAACCTAGCCACAAACAGGAGAGCAGTTGGAAGAGTCAAAGACAGTCAACCAAGCCAAGTTCATTGCCAAGTTGCATCATACACTAGATCACCAGCAATGCCTGTGGTTGGAAAATCAACAGCACCTGTTTGCTCACATAGCGCACCTGGCACGTCATAGGCCGTCGCAAAGAAACCCTTGGCTTCTCAAAGTCAGCAGCCAGTTTTTGAGGTCTCATTTTTGCAAGCCAGAGACCCCTCTCCAAGCCCAAGACATGCTACCAGTCGACGCGGGCCAGCGATTTTGCGCCGCGCTATGGCCCTGTCCTTCGTGGGCTGGCGGCCCGCGGCGCTCTGGGCGTTGCCTGCGCCAAGGAGCAGATGCCGGTGCCTCGCTCAGGACTGGAAGACCCAGGCCAGGGGAACCAAAAGGCTGTGGCCCAAACTTGAAAACAGCCAGGGGTGCGCGGGTTGTAGGCTTTGTTTCCATTTACCGGGGGGGCCATTTTGGGTGCAACTTTTTCAGCCACAGCCACATGGCTCCGGGAAGCGCTACGACGGATTTGGTGGGTTCAGAGCTCGCGCCAGGCCAGCACGCTGAGCAGCACCTTGGTGGTGCTGCTGCAGGCTTTGCGAAGGGCCAGTGCAAAGGAACGCCGCGTGCGGCTCCAGGACAAGCTGTCGACTGCTTTGGTCGCGTGCACGACGGCTGCAGTGATGAGACAGGTTGGTGACCTGTGGAGTTTTTGCAATCAACCTGCGTGCCATTGGGAGCAGCGTATAAAGCCGCTGCCACTCTTGTTAGCATATTTAGAACCAAAAGTCATGGGAGGTTTGAGCGATGCTCATCGAATCTCTTTGTCCTTTTCGAGGAGGCCAACATGTCGCAGCTGCGGATCATCTCAGCGGGCCTGCGCCTGCGCATTTGCAAGTCCCAGGAGGCGGGCCTGCGAGCCGAATCCAGGAGAGCCTGTGCATCACCTGAAACCTGAAGAGGGATGCATCCTTATTGTCAAGCGGCCATCCCTGTAGTTTCTGATTTTTCCACATTCTTTTTTTTCTGATGGTTCAGCATTGGGACGAGCCGAAGCCAGCGACGCCAACCTAGGACTTGGTGAGAAAGATCGCGGATGCCCTGGCGGAGGACGACAAGCTGGCGCAAAAGCCGATTGGCAAATACTTGAGGCCGCTGCCCGAGGACGAGGCCGAGCAGTTTCAGCAGCGGATCACCGATCTCAAGTCGCGCCAGCTCAGAAGTGTGCCTGCCATGATTGAAGGGGCATTGGGCCTGTGGTTGTCAGAATGCGGGCCTCCCAATCCTAGCGGCTAATGCCTAGGGCCTAATGCAATCTTACAGCGCCTTCAAAGATGGAGTTATTTGTGACCTGGCTCATGTGTGGAACATGTCAAGGCAACCTAGCGTGGCCTTGCACCAGTACAACAGTACGGACGGCACTTTCTGTCTTTGTCCAGCAGCAATTCTGAGTGAGTTCTAGAATGCACCAACGGCCCTTCCGCATGTGATGGGCATCGACGTTGCGTGGCTAGACCTTGCAGTGCTTCATCGGGACAAAAAACAGTCCATCAGCCCCCTATTGATTGAGAAGTTGTCGGCATTCTGTGCTGGGCAGAGCCTAATTTCGTATGAGGGGCTGATCAGATGTGAACACCGCATGCAAACAGACGTCGTCATGCTTGCTGAATGCCGGGGATGTCGATGATGTTGCTGATGATGCGATGCTGCTGGCAATGCCGGGGGTGGCGTCCCTCCACAGGCACCGCGTCCTTTTTTCCTTCTATCCCCATCAGCAACAAAAACATAGGCCCACCATTTTGGCAGAGGTATGCATTTAAGCTCAGTTTGTGACGCCAGTGTTCTTCGTGCAAACCGGCACGCCAGAAGTGTATCTTCTTTTGGCCATCGGTCAGAGCTGGGTTCGCCAAGCTTTTCGTGGCCCACAAAACAACGCTGGGCAAGCGCCTCTGACAGATTCTAACAGTGGCTCTTCGACCTTTTGCCTTTGTTGGAAGTTCGTCATGCTCCAACTTTCGACCAGCATGACATTGACTTCGCAGAGAGCTGAAGTTTGCCTAAGCGTGTGTGCATGCTGTTTCCACCCGCAGCTTCCGGCTGGAGCCATTTCGTTAGGCTGGTTTTCTGGGGATCCGAAGATGTGCGAGTGCGAGACACCACCGCCCAAGCGGAAGACCTGCGACGAGATGAGGCAGTCCCTGCGCAAGATGGGCCGCAAGACGTCCGGCGTGAAGGCGGAGCTTGAAGAGCGCTTGGATGAAGTCCTGAACACCAACGACAAGGGTTGGGCCAGGATTGTGGGGGCAACGTGCGAGTGCTTCACGTACTTGGCGTCAGGTGCGCACCGCCATGTCTACCAGGGCTTCTACACAAAAGGACCTCGCAAGGGGCAGGGTGCTGTGAAGAAGGAGTTCAAGACTGGGTCTGTGTTTGAGAACTCATTCTTCAATGAGGACATCAAAGCGACCAGAGCGGCCCAGTCGATGATTGGCGCGTTCAACACCTTGCAGAACCGAAAGAAGGTCTACTTGAACGAGCCCAAGGTTTGGAAGAGTGTGCAGCCGGACAGTGCCGGACGGCATGCAAAATGCTTGGTCGAGCCCCTGATCCAGGGCGAGTACCACAAGTTCAACTCGAACACCGCTTACATTGTCGAGGATTTCCACACGATGCAGGCCCTGTCCCACTTCTCCTATCATCACAGCGGCGGCCAGCGATTGTTGTGCGACCTCCAGGGCGGCTACTATGATGACTTCTACGTGCTCACGGACCCGGTGATTTGCTCAGTGGAGAAGGCCTTCGGAGCTACCGACCTGGGCTTGGACGGCATTGAGAACTTCTTCGGCTACCACCGCTGCAACCACCTCTGCGGCTCCCACTGGCTGAAACCACGGCAGCCGGTCCGGCGCTTTCAGCCGATGGCTGGCACAACCTTCTGCCGGTGAGCCGAATATGTTTTGGATCTTGCGCGTAGGGCAGACAACTCCAAGAGCCGCCTTTACCATTTAGGGTATCCCGCAAGCAAATGCGGGAACAACTTAGGCCTTTGATCCAGGATCTGCCGTCAGCATGCATGTGAGTTTCAAGCAATTAAACATGTTTGTTGCTGGCAGTTTTCTTAATTTGTGCTCTGGCTTTCGCGCGCATGGTGATTTACATTTCATAAGCAGCTTGGAGCACATGCATGTTAGTAGGTTGCACAAAGCTTTCCAACTGATCAACACCGGAGTTCGCTCTCATGTTCCTGGATGGGTTCCGTGATCCAAGTAAATCCCAAAAGCGCGCGCAGATTCCAGAGCCGGGGTGTTGCAGCTTGCACGGGCAAGCAAGGGGAGTCGCCTGAGCAGAGATGAAAAAGGAGCCCAGCAAAGAACTGTGCTGCCGTCAATTGGAACGCATGGTCCATTTTGAACATGACGCGGTGGTGTGATTTTTGGTTATGATTCCCTTTGCATTAAAGTTTGTAGTTGCCGCTTGTATACCCTGTATCTTCCGCCAAAAGGGAACATATGGGTATGGGTCACAATTAAACGAACAGGGGACCGCAGGTTTTAGCCCATGTTTCCATTGGCCAGTGTTCCATTTTTGGTACCTACAAGTATTTTTGACACACAGCCATATCTTGCGATCGGCGAGGGAATTCCACATCCCGATTCTGCGGGCTCGATCGCGTGTTTTTTTTTGGCCTCCAAGCTGATTGCTTGCGCAAATGCGTGATGCTTTAGAGTTATCACCAAGGAAGACACTGGTCCAAGGCTGCTTCGAGGTTGTCCAGTAGAACATAGGGAGGAGACACGTTGGCAATGTGGCCGACATTGCCAGAACTCTGTCGAGCGCTACGCCTGAGCACTGAGGGCAGGAAGGCTGTGGCATGGAAGCATCGAGCCGTCGGTTGTATTGACCAACGACTGTGCTTGACACGTCAAGTTGTGTGTGATGACTTCCCCCCATCGAGTGTAACGTTTTGTGTTGGAAGCGCAACTTTTGTTCTATCTACTCTGCCACTTTTTGGAGTGCAACGGGCCAGATCCCTAAGCCAAGCGCAGAGGGGGTTTGGAGCCACAACCCCAAGAGAGCAACCCTTCCAAAGAGGGTTCCACTTGGCTTTGGAAAGCACAGTAACATGGACGCGCGCGCCCTCTACATTTACTTGGCGTTTCTATTTTTCAAGCTACTCAAATTTTGAGTTGTCATGGAGTGAGTGCAGATTTGCAGGGAAACCAAAAACAGACTCACAGGGTTTCTTTTACTTTGGCGTGCACCCAGTTGGGAGTTACGAACATGGGGTCCACCCACGGCTTTCCCCATGGGCCCGACATCGGTACACCCGACATCGCCTTTGCCAGGCGCACCTCGCCCGGGAAATCACCCGGGAGCTCTTGGAGCGCCACCGCTCAGGCGGGAGTTGCGGGAGTTGGGGGTGCTGGGTGCCGCGGGACGGCAGATGCTTGGGGGGTGGACAAAATCCAGGAGGATGGTCCAAGTCTGAGATTGTGGAGGAGGTTCATCCCAGGATTTGTTCTGTTTTTGGTATGGCAGGACTTTTGGGGAGTTGGACCCATGAGGATTCCGGGACCATCCATGAAACCTGCCGGGATGAACCTCACTGGGGCGGCGTCCGTTCTGAGGGGTCAAAAGGTGTATCAAGTTTGAATCAAGTGTCTGCCCACTGAGGGTTTTGGGACGATGTTAGTAGTTTGGGATGGTCCTAGGCTCCAGGATGTCGCTGGGTTGCTTACCTCTTCCCCTTAAAGCAATCCCGAAAAGGTTACCGGCTGTTAGATCGACAATCCTGACGATTCAGTGCGCCATGCCTGGAGGCCACCAGATGGAGGCAGAGACACACCAGACTGAGCCGTTTGTGCCAGGAGATGAACTGGAGCGTTGAGGGAATCTCAATAGCCAAAATCCCTGAGAGCATTCATGGCAACTGCTGATCGGAATTGAATTTGCCGCGTCGCTTTGGGGAGAGATTTGTTTGCACCCAGCCATTGCCTTTCAAAGCAAGAAGGGAGGTGGCATGCATAGCGTAGACATCGCCACTGGCACGATGGCGCTTGAACAAGGACTCGACAACGGCCAAGAAGCACACGACGTTTCTGAGAGCGAGGAGGACGGGTACATGCGGCACTAGGAAACGTCAGTTGACTTTCTTCCAACTGAGACTGTTCGGCATTTCTTTGCCTGGGCATGCCAGTAGCCTTGCTAGGGGATGCTGAGAGAAACGGCGGCATGCTAGCTTCCGTTGCACCAAGATGTGCTTGATCTTATTTTGTGCTTGTTCTGATCTTGTTCCCAGTGCATTGGTCGCGGAATACATCTCAATCTTTGGCCGCCTACTTTGCTCGAATTCGCAGTATTTGGCCGACCTTGCTTTCCCTCTTTCGCCACAGGGAATTCAAGGGGAATGGCAGCACCCATTTCCTTGCAGATTCAACACATGGCAAATAAGTGCCCGATTCAGATCAAAGTGGGGCCGTACTTGTTCAGCGCTTCACTGTGGGTTGGGTGTTTGGTTACCCAGGAGCGATAAAGGAGGCACGCACTTGAATGGACCGCCTTAGTTCGGGCCATTGCTCACGTTTTTGTTTTACTGCCCAGCCTAATCACAACATCAAGGCGAGCTTATGACTTGCTGGGGGACGTGCGGATTTTAGAAAATCAGGTTGGCCGATCGGACCAGTGAGCGACACCAACGAGCGAAACCACAGTGTGACTGATCAAAAGTGGGTTCGCCCAAAGCGGTATTGCTGGTTTCTGTTTCCTGTTTTTCGGCACATGAGGTTTCTTTTTGGGCTGCCTTTGCTTGGTCCGGCTGAGACACCAGATGTGGCTCCAGCTCAGCGCTTAAATCCTAGGCGAGTTATTTGTATATCATACTTTGTGCGGAGCCCCTCTTTGAGCTGATGGAAGGAACCCGAAGGGAATTTTGAGGGCCCGTTTCTGCACAATGGCCACCGATGCCCGGCTATGCTTTCAGGTGCTAGAGAGGCAGGAGACAGGGCAGGACTGTTTGTCAATGCGATGGGCTTGGCTTCGGCAGAAAGCAAATGTGGCATTCAGTGGTAGGGCACGAGGCGTTGTTCACTTCAACCTGTGTGGATGGCTGCAGGACAACCAGTCTGCCGTGCTGGTTCCCATTGTCCAGCACTGAGCTGCCGAAGCTTTCGTTTCTGCCGAAGTCTGCGCCTGGAGGTGCTGGAAAATGATGATCACAGAAGAACTGTGCAGAAAGAGCAGAAGAGGGAGCAACGCAGGCCCTGCCCGCTTTCGAAGCATGTCCCTGCCCTTATGAGCGCTGGAATGTTCCATTTTTTCCAGCATGGGTTGAAGGAGCACAAGGGCCAGCAGATTCCATTCTTTGTCAGCCTGGGGTAAGCTGCGCTTTCCTGATGTTTCAACTCTCGTGCCGGTGCATTGTGTTTTTCTTTGAGGAATTCTCAGTCAAGTTCTGTGCAATGATATGACTTGTCATCAGATTCTGAGAATACAACCTCAACAATACATTCCATGATAAATTCTATCTTGATTTCTCCGGATGCTCATTCCCTGGGCCATCTTCTCTGGGAGAAGTCTCATGTGGGACTCAGGTGTTGAATGCGACTGGTCGATGCACTTCGACTCCATGAAAAGTAGCCGTTTCATACAGAGGGTGCGGGGGGCATATTGTCGTACCTATGAGGGTCCTATTCTCTGCTGATGGCTTTGAGCTAAGGGGAGCTGCCCGCATATCGTTTCTTTCTGGATATTGTGTGACCCATCAAACAGCATTGTCATCAAACACTATCATCTCTAGCCGAGCACTGTTGTAGACCAGAGCACGGTCTTAGGTCTTGACTTGCATGTTTTGCTTCATAATGTTGACCCAGGATTAATAAACCCGTCCCATTATTAGTGGGGTGTTCCCTCCAACAGTGATGAATCCCCACCACAAAGGGACACCCCCCTATTAATCAACCAGGGGTTTATTAATCCGGGGATAACATCATATTTTTCCCTCCAAGATATGTCCATGTCATGGAGGTTTGCGACTCGTCAGGAGCCGCCTGAGGGAGATCCTCTCCCAGGCCCAGACGGGAAGGGCGCGTTTCGGTCTGAACATGGGAACCTCCTGTATGGAAGTGAAGCAGGAAACCAAAGGGTAAAACCCAAAAGCCACCTGTAAAAAAAGAATCGACCCCCCAAATTTGAGACACGATTGTGTTCTTGTCAGCCCGGGGTACAGCCTTCTGCTTTCCTGGATTTGCATGAGAAATCACCCCCGTTCTGCAAGACGTTTCGACTTGCGACTTGAGCCAAGGAGCTCCATGCGGTGGCTTCCACGTAACCACGCCTGAATCGCGCGCGGCGCGACGCACGCTTTGGCGTTGGGGCGCATCCGCGTTGATCCGCGCATCCGCGCGGAGTTTCTTTAGTTTCAGCCAAAACTTGGTGTGCGGCGCATGTGTTTTTTTTCTTCCCATGGAGGGTGGCAGGGTCTGCGGCATGGCCCGCAGAGTCTGGCCTCGCGCAAGCGAGCTCCTAGGGCCCGCGTCTCACGCAGCGAGGAAAAGCCGCATGCGCCAGTGGTAGGATTCATGGGCCTGGCATTCCACTCTCAACAGGGCTCCTGCTGGTTCCCACTTTGGTGACCTCTCAACAAGTTGCATGCGAGACTTGATGCTAGTGCCCCACTTCGAAGTGAATTCGGCTCAAAAGACAACAACCAGATTCGAAGACACATGCACGGACAATTAGAAGCGGAGCACGGCCAATCTGACAGACAAAGCATCTTGCGGCACTCAGCTGCTCGGCTGACGGCCAATGCACGCTGAGGACGTAATAAGCACCATTGTATCAACGTGCTTGACTGGACAAGATGTGGTTCTGAGACGTGCTTGACGTGTGGCGACTTCTCGTCAAATCATTGAGCTTTGATTCTAAACTTGTTGAGACATGTGAGCAGCTCTCAAAACCCTCATGAGCGATTTAGAAAGGGGTTCTACTTCCTTGTTTAATATGGATTATAGTGAGGCGTTAGGTGAGGCCGATGAACACATGTACACATACACCTGTGCATACATGTACATATTCACCTACAATATGCATAGACATATACGTACACATATACATACGCATACAACCGATATACATATATATATATATATACATACAAATGCACACACACACACACGCTAATACATGCATGGGTGCATATCTTCACCAACTCCTGTACGGAAGGCGCGTGAGTTTGTGCTCTGCCATTTCTTGCGGTGTGGGCTGCTGTCGTGAAGGTACTGCCTTTGCTTTGTGTGCCTGCTGTTGATCTTCGTCATCATCTCCCGGATGTAGTTCCGTGTTGTACTGCGCGTTCTCGAAATTGGTCGAACCTGTCTACACAAAATCGTGGGATTTGTTGGGTTGCGTTGTCCCCTCCTCGATGTACTTGTCGTTGTTGTCGACCTTCTTGGAGCTTGTGCCGCGACAAGGCGTGAGGTTCTTGATGTCTTGTCCATTTGTGGTGTTCTCCGGGAAGAAGTCCTGTGGCAGAACGTGTACTCGTTTCCAAAGGTGTTCTTCGCGAATCCAGTAGTCCGAGGTTGGGACCATGTGGTGTGGTTGTGGGATTCCTTGCGCTTGTGGTGTTGTCTGTGTTGTCAGTCTCATCTTTGGATTGTAGTTACTGACATGTGGAGTGACTCTTGTTGTTGACAGTCTTCCTGTTACGGTTGTTGACTGTGCGGCCATTTGCTGTTGCTTAGCCGCCATTTGCTGTTGCTGGGCCGTCGACTGCTGATGCTGTTTCTTGATCCTGAAGACCGTCTCTCCTTCCCACGCATGTGGGAGTGTTTTGTGTTGTTGCTTGCCGCATGCCGTATGTTGCGAAAACTTGCCTTTTCACCATTGTTGGCCTGTAGTTGTCCAGCTTGTCAAGTGCTTTGGCTATACAATACCAATACTTGTTCAACGAGAAACTGCGGCATAGCCTATTTGATCCACATTTGGATCAACACGCCTAAGCTGTCAGATGCGCACGAGCAGCATCAGCAACCAAACAGAAGCCCCGCCATTACATCTCGACTTCGTGTATTTGAAGAGCTTTTACGACCCAGCTACAAGACAACTCCGTTTCTGACAGCAATCGACATACAGACAGGCTCATTAGAGACAAGCGACAACAGTTTGAGTACGTAGCGCAGCAGCTCGAAACATTCCTTTTGGAATGTGGCCGCACAGATGCCATCTTGCAGAGCGACCAAGAAGAGTACCTTAAAGCGCTGGTCAGAACAACAGCGCGCAGAGTAGGACACATAACGGTGAGATTCTCTCCAACATGCAGCTCACAATCACAAGGAAGCGTTGAAAGAGCACACCGCACACTGTTTGGACAAATCAGGACGCTGAGGGCACAAATCAACAGAACTACAACAGAAAGGCCAACTAATGTCATGCAATATAACTCACAGCGCCTGCATTCTCAACAGATATGCCATGCACAGCAACGGATGCACAAGCTACTTCAACAGGTGGCAGAAGAACTCACAAGCTCCACCCGGCGAATTCGGAGAAACAGTGCCGTACATGGTTCCGACCGACACGCAGACAATACCCAAAGCTTCAGCAGCGCTTCTTCGACGGCATTTGGCTAGGCAGAGATGAAAGCGCAGGTGGGCGCGGCCTTGATATCAGCAACAGAGGCATACGAGCACGAACAGTCAGAAGAACAATAGCTCCAAACACGTACAACCAGCAGATGACGGACGTATTCCACGCAGCACCATGGCACATACCACCGCCGACAGCACCAATCACAACAAGAGTGGCACGGCCACAAAAGAAGCAGGAACAGACGCATCACGTATCAGCGCGCAAGATGCTGGAACAAACGCAGCAAACGAGCATAAGCAAACACCGCAGCAGGAGATCACCAACAAAATAACAACGACTTCTTCCTGGAGACGCTGGACCTACATGGCCAATGACGACTTAACCGACGATATCAAGACCACCGCCGCTACCACCAACACGCGCAGGGTGAAATCTCAGAAGAAATCACAGGCAAGCAGCAAACAACGGAAAAAAGAAAAGAAAAAAAGCGCAACAGCACCAAAAAGCCCAGAGCCAGCAGAGCAACCAAAGACAAAGCCAACCAATTACAAAGCTCAGAAGTAGAGCACTAACGGGACACGACAAGCAAGGATAACCAATCGAGACAACACCAGGCGAAGACCCACGAGAAGCAGAAAAACGAAAGGGCGCTGCTTGAGCCGACCTCGAACAACACCAACAAGGCAGGTGGCGCGAGGGAAGAGATCAGACAAGTGAAGGGCCGCAAGGTCTTCGGGACACTTGCGCCGGAACAACAGTACACAGAAACCGTAGCGGACACGGACGCGCTGTGTGCACTAACGCCAATGTTCAGCATCCTTCGCGTATTGCTTGCAACATCACGAGCAAAAGGCTGGAAAGCACGCGCACCAGACCATTCCTACACGCGCTGGCAGCAACGCAAGACATCATCGTGAGACCGCCGCAAGAGTTTTACGCAACAACAAGCGCATTCATTGGAAACTCAGCAAAGCAAGGTGTGGCCTCAGGTCAAGCGTGAAACAGTGGCATGCCCACATTGCAACAGTCCTCACAAAACTTGGGCCGACGCGACTTAAGACAGACTCCAATGTCTACAGAAACAAAGAAGGTTCAGCCTACATCATGACCTACGTCGATGGCCTACTTCTGCTTGAAGGCCGCATCACCGACAGATCTTCCAACAGACTGAGAAGGAGGTTCTTGCGCGACCTGCGTGCGGGTGAACTAACATTTTCTTTCCGCGGAAGGAAACTTGCACACAACGGAGACAGCGTCGACATCAGCTAAGTACGCCTACGACATCCTGGCGGAAGCAAACGTGAGCAGCTGCAACGCAGCGCCGCCCGGCGCCCAGCGCTCAAACCTAACACCAGCACAGAGCAACCTCTAAGCGTAGACGATCAGCAAGATACAATGGCTAGCGTGCGCTAGACCAGACATTTGCATTGTAGAAGCAGCAACGCAACTCGACAACCAGAAGGTCAAACGCTTGCTCAGGCAAGGGGAGACAGCGCTGACGCAACCCGTCGCGCAGCTTGGAGACAAGAGAGTCCCGGTCGACATCTAGACCAACGCCAACTGGAGGTCGTGCCAGACAACGCTCAACGCGCTACCTTGGCGCACGCACACGCTTCGCATCACGTGCGCAAGGAGTTGTAGCACTTTCCTCAGCAGAAATAGATCTAAATGCAGCGTGCGCAGAAGGCTTGTGCGCAACTTTGTACAAGAAGCTTTCGACACCAAAACAAACCTCAAACTCCACACCCACGGCAGCGCAGCGCAATCAATCATAGTGAGAGAAGGCACATCCTGGCTATCGAACCGCATTGAGCTGAAACACCTCTTTGCGCAACAGCTGGTAAAATACGGGCTGATCACGATGCGCAAGATCAGATCAGTGCGCAACGCAGCAGACATTCTCACCAAAGGAGTGAACGCTGAGGCAGTCCACAAGCGCCGCTGCAACTCGCGCTTCGTCACCTGTCTGCTTTCAAAACATGCGGGGCAGCGTTTCATCTTCGAACATCGCGCAATGGACAATTCTTTGCCACCGGGAACACCTCCTACTACATTTTCTCCTGCTGGATGGACACTTGCGTGCCGTCAAAACGTCTTGAGGCAACTGCAGCCATTCTGGACTAAAGATCGGTGCTTGCGGTGCAACTCGCGCGCAGCAATGGCCCAACACGACCCTGCGCGCGTTCCACTGGGAAACGCCCCTCAACCAGTCCTAGGCCAGGTAGGGCGACAACCGGAAATGTTGCGGACTACTGTGAGGTAATCCTCCCGGCTACGGGAGAGGAGATTGAGTGCCTCACGTCTGGTCGCACCAACGTGATCCCCGGGAACACGCGCAAGCCGCGCGTGGAAGTGTTGGGGATGCTGCGCAGCTCCACAGATTGCTTGATGCTCTGTGCCTCACAAGTTCTCCGTTGTTATTGTGTTGCCAGAGACGCCTGCGCCTCTACCTCTTTCATTCGTAGTGTGGATGGAACGCATGGTCCTTATGTGTTTGGAGCTCTCTTCGATTCAGTGATCTTCAATGGTGTGAGCCAAGCAATATGCATGCTGACCCTGGCCTTATTCGTGGCATGGCCGTCAGGACCAAAACTACCAAGAGGGGGATGCCTTTTGCATTTATTTCCTCAGGTTTTTTGGGCCACAAGTGTATCCTGGGCTATGTTATGGCATGGTCTTCTTATGGATGCTTTGCGATCCACGCTGCTGGCAAATCCTCACGCAGATCCTTCATTTTGCCGCAAATGCATGATGACTCCACAGTTCAGTTACTTTCGCCCATGTCCAGATCTCAGGCGTTGATAGCACTGCGTTCACTGCTTGCAAAGCACTACGAGGAAGCAGGTGTGCCATTGCATTCGGTCCTGTTTTCCGACTTGGGAGTGCATTCAATGAAAGTAACACTTCTTGCATGGAGTTGTCAGCTTCACCTGAATTCAGAATGGCGGAGACTGCAGGGTCATCGCCGCCAATGCGGAGCATCAGCTTCAGTGGCTCTGTATTCTCGGGATGACGCTTGGGGACCAATTGCATTGCAAACTCAACTGGTTGACAAAATCATCGCGGGCTTTCGCCCGCTTAAACCTGTCTCCAGAGGTGCAGCGAGTCCCTTGCCGGATGTTCCGGCGCACCTTCCTGCAGCGCCAGTTGCGCCTATGCCTGCCCACGCGCCTGTCCCTTCGCAGCCGTCGGAGCCGCAGCAGGAGATAACATCCTCCTCTTCATCC